CAAAAATATCGGACACGACAATAGGATGTAACGACAAAAGTCGGAAGAGCGGATGCGATTCGCGCCGACTCGCCGCCGACAAACGCAATGCGGTGATTTTTTTACGCAATAACAACAATACAAAGAATGTATCGCACTATCGGTTTGAAGGGATGTTTCCACCCACAATTCAGCGTGGGCTCATCGTTCACTACAATCGGAAATGACTTCACGAACTTTCGGAACCTTTAACCACTTGTCTTCGTTGCATTCATCTCGCTCTAATGTGCATAGTGTACACACAGGTGTTCGACAATAGCCCAAACTATGACGTGTATTAATTGCTATACCGATAAATTTTATAACGGTTGAGGAGACAGCAGAAAGCACTTATGAGTTAAGAAAATCTGTAAGTATTGAATCTCACCTAAACTTGTTCGTTTGTTGGTAATTTTGTTGGTAATATTTGACTAATATAATACTGCAAATAGTGCCATTGATCCCAAATGATCTCTGAAACCTGCAATAAGACGAGTTGTAACGTCTTGGTGACTGTGAAATCTGTTTGCTTTCCTCAGTTAATTGACGGCCCCCACCGGGTCCTACATGTTTGAAAAAATTCTTAATTTTTTTTAAACATGTTTGACTTCTTTTGGAAATCTGGATATTACTGAATATCTAAATTTCTCCAGAATCGTGATCCGCCGTTTACAGATTAAAAATCCAACTTTACGGATTTTATCGCGTTTCGGTTTTAGTCTGTCGATTTCCGAATATCCAAAGCCAATATAGATCGACAGGCATCTCGTTTAGGCCTTATATGCCTGGTGTTTTTCCTTATAGTGATTGGCTTCACTTTTGTTTGACGCATGTCCGTTCTCCCCTAGAGTATATATCTAAAATGTTACCTAGGTTTAATATTCTTCAATAGTTAACACATAATACACTGTAGAGTTTAATTATAAAGCGGGCCATAACAGTTCAAATCGTCTTGCCTATAAAAATAATTGCTAGGTAAAGTAATGAGTCCACCACCATTAGTTCGGGACTGTTGACACATTTGGCGTCGAAGCCGCCATTATAGCAGTTTTACTGTTATCGCGTATCGTAACGTTGTCAATCGACCGTCGCACGCCGTGCAATTAGCGTGCAATGCTAAACCAACACCAATTTTGAATTAAACAATTTTGACGGTTTTAACGTGGAATATATAAAATGACTCATTTTTAATTACGACTTGACTTTCTTCTCAACGACCCATCACGGGTTCAATGGGGATTGCTGGTGTAAGGTATTTAAAATTTATTCACTGATAATGATGCTGAATACACGGTTTCAAAACAAGAAATAGTCGTTATTATATTTGACCCGACGTTTTATTTGAAGGTACCAGCTCTGCTAGCCAGCGGATGTCCTATTATGGCTTTGGACATTTGGAAATATACAAACTGAAACCAAAAGGCGGATTTATGTTTCACGTTTTTTTCATACGTGGACGATGTTTTAGAAAAAATATAAAATGATTTACAAACATTTCACACTGGTTATTATTAGCCAAACATTATACAAGTAGTTACATTGGTGATAACTATAATAGATAGCATTAACTTATTACTAAAAAGAAAGTAATGCAATGCGCGGATTGTATTATTTCGGAATCTCGTGTTTTTACAGCCTGTTGCACTTTCAACATAAATTAGAATGCATTAGATATTTAGAAGTTGAAGCAATTAATGGATCAAAACTGACAGCCGTGTACCGCGAGACGTCTTAGATATTAAATCGCTTGTAAGTAACACGGTAAGTAGACCGCAGTCACTTTAAGTCAAAGCATGATATTTTAATTACTTTGTTCGAAGTATTAAAAGTATTGTTGAATTAAACAGACCAATTTGAACCTTTTTTATAAAGATAAAGAAGGACAGACATACCCCATGTCTGTCCTTCTTTATCTCACTTGATGGTAGGTGATATACCCCAGTCTATAGCATTTAAACAAGATGCGCCGTCGCCCTATTTTTGACGTTGGGTATTCGGAAATTCACAGACTGAAACCGAAATGCGATTACGCTTCAAGGCTTTTTCAGTCGACGTTTTTCGGAAGACGGTGGTTCGTGACCCGGACGGAAATTCTATATTCGTACTACCCATTTAAAAATAACTGTTGAAATGCTAGAGGGATACCTAGATTCGATGCCTGGTATAACATAATAAATTATCGTAAAGCACACAGCTGATCATTTCATAGCTTATTTGTAAATAAAAGTCAATTACAAAAACGGACACAAAAATGTGTTACATGCCTAGTTAGAACAATTGGGATTTCAAATACTTGTTATTTAATTAAATAACTTAGATAAGCCATAGTATTTATCAATTATAATACATAACATTTTCATATCTCTCGTCTTCGATACACAGTTACAAACTATGTTGCAGTCATTAAAAACTTACTTTATATCACCTGGCAACCCTATTATAACGCTGTTGTTGTTTCTATTATGGCGAATTTTCTACGCCACGACCTTTCGTGTTTAATTCACATTATGTGATCTTCAAACATTATTTAAGTAGTTCTTCAAATATGTGCAGATGGGTCGGAGGGCGGGTCTGTGGCAGCTGCATGATTTTGCTTAGCTTTTATTTATTTTTTTCAGAGATGGTATAAATAGATAGAATATTATAATTTCACACATCGTATAGCTCTGCTTTAAAGATAAGATAATCATAATTTTAATATTTCTTATTTCTCCAAAATGACAATCAGTGAACTAGCTATGGCGCCGACTATATTCGCGGTCGGCGAATCAACTTCCTGTGTACCGTTTCCCGCCAAAATGGATCGTTTCCGGTGCGTATTTGTCATTTCCCGATCCTAGCGAGCCACAGAGTAACAGATAATTTTCTTCAACAATAGTGATCATTTCCTAAGCATTTGATAGAGTATTTCATTTTATTATAGTTTAACAGAAATATTAACTTTAATATTACGTATATGGCCATAATAATCTCCATAAGAAGATATTATTGTAGCAAGTTGAAGTCTGAGGAGAATTTCTACTATACTTGTTTTTATCAAATTAAGAGCAGATACTCAACTATTTTATATGACGGTTTTAGTTATTATATTGAAAACAGTATTCATGACAGTAATTTGCGGAAATTATATTGATTATACTTTCCTGACATTTAACTTTCCATAGATAATAATTGATACAATCAGAGCGCACAATATGTTTGTAAAATGTGATCGAAGTGAAGATAATGGAATCAGCAGGTAATAGGGCGCGGTGTCAGTAATTGTGAGAACTGATTGTGTAATTAGCGCGACGAGTCACTGAGGGCGCGGGAAATGGTCGCCCTCGCTGTTTTCTAACACCCGTGAGAGATATTAAAACGCTAATGTTTGTTTTAAAACTAAAATAACACCTATAAACGCCATGACATCAGCGTTACGCTATCATCAAATACGCCAAAAAACAAGGATACGGTCTCTCCGTCGTAATTGTTATGTAGAAAAATATAAAAATATGATTGTTGATCGTATTATCTTTTCACAGAGGAGATACGCGATAAAAATAAGTAGGTATGTTAATTCTCTCTTATAAAAAACTAATCACTGTATTTTATCATTATATTATAGTAGGTATCGTCTTATTACTTATTAATTATCTTATATTTCATCGTGTTATATATACCTATTAGTTAATGTAGTTTAAACATGGTCCGTTTTAGTAGCTCTATATGTAGTTTCTCCGTGACTACAATAACTGTACGGCACGGAAACGTCGGGTTTTTAAAAGCATCGTTATTTACCTATCATTACCGATACGTCTTAAGTCAAATCGCACGCATTGAGCTTCACTACAATAATGTTATAAAGAAGATGCTAATGACTCGCAAAAGGTATAGAAATGTAAACAATAGAAAGTGCATCAATTTATTTCAATTTACAAGATTGCATTGTTTCGGCGGGTGAGGGCGTTCGCGGGTTTCCGGGCCGCGCTTCCGACACGAGCACGACGCGTGCCGCGCCATCTTTGAATTGCACCCTACAGCAATCACGCAGTGTTGCCAGCTAAAACAACACACTCAATTAAATAAACTCAGTTTAAATTTCATTCTTATGCTGTTTGTCATAGGTTTTATATTAAATTTATCGTATAACGTTTAATGTTAGAGTTAAATGTTGTTTAACAATTATATAAAGAGTAATTTTATACATCTACGCTCACAGGATGACTATAATTTAAAGCCGTGTCAGTGACTCCGAATGAATAAATGTGTGTAATCAATATTTGCTTAAGGATGTTTTCTTTAATGTACTATCAATATTGGCAATACGTCGATAGAAGCAAGTATTAAGAAAAATATGGTAATGTACAAAGATCGTAGTCTAATTAAGCAGGGAATCTTATTAGTTCACTAAGAAGATCTTTTAGTGTTCGAATAAGATTGGACATGTGATTGAGGACGAGTTTTTTTTCAATACCTACAAATCTTATATTGTGAAATTTCAAAATGGGCTACTAATATTTGTAACATTTTCTATAAAGCTTTGTTTGACACAGATTGTAAGTTTTATAACCCATTCCAGATATTGCGCATATAACATTGCTGTAATACACGTGCCAAAAACAAACAACATTTGACCTTATGGCTAACAATTAAATCGGTCATTAACGTAACAAATAGATCAAACATAAATAGATGTGAGAACCGTATGTCGGTTTGTTCAGAGGCGATGTCATGTATGAGCAAACATTTACTATGCCGCGCCCTCTGTGTACTCGATTGAACTTTATTTGCTTGCTAAACGGTGTGTCAGTATTTCAATTCCAAGGTGAAAAATGATAGAAATAAATATAGGAATAATCGACGTATTCCTTTCGTATAACAAAACATAGCAACGGCCAACAAGACAATTTATTAAGCAACTTGCCCAAGAGGAAGTGTTCCTCGAATTACTGAGTGAAGCACGCATGCAGAGAAGAGCATTACTGGCAAAGTTTTGTGTAACAATGCGTAATGTTGCCATTTCTATGCGCAAAACTCCTCACCGGAAACGGCGAACTTACGACGCACGGAGGGAATCGTGCAAGTTGGCTATTGTGGCGCCATCTACAACTGTCCGTTACACTGACACGGTTCCGGCTTCTCTTCAAACAGTCTCGAGCTGTCAACTTGGAAACGGATGCCTTGGAGTTTCCTTGAGGGTTCCTTTTTATTTATTCAATTCTCAAGTAGATTTATTGAGATTTGGTTTGGCAAGATCCTGGGTAAAGTTTTACCACAGTTCATTTTAACTTTAGCATTTATGTTGTATATGCTTAAAGTTCTCTATAGCATTGGGCAGGGGGCTGACACTTCTTTGTCCATTTCACTGATCAGTGTTCAGGTAAGGTGAGAAAACATCTTGCCCAAACCGAGTAAAAATATTACTTTTGTTTCTCTGATATTTGAACCCAAGTTCGTATAGGCGTATTTGAACTAAAGCTGTTATGGTTGATTGTTTTTTCTTCATTTTGTTTCTATACAGACTTTTATGAATCTGTTAGACGAGACGCTATGTACTGTCTTAAAATCATTCGTATATACTGTAGCATACAAATATTTATTTCAAATATTTTAATTGTAAGCATAGTAAATTTGAAACAGCGCATCGTTTTCGAAGTCAAGCGTAGGCGAGAACTATTCACAGCAAGGTTGGGATATAGTATTACAAAATTTTAACAAGTTTAAACTGAACTCCGGATTCCGCTAAAAACATTTCCGAGATATGAAGAGATTGAAGTGGTTTGTAGGTCTGCTTTAACTGGACGAGTTTCAAGATCACATCCATCGTGTATTGTCTACCTACGCATATAGCCATACATACGTCACATCGTACATCGAAAGTCACTTTTAGCTGGATTCATAATATTATTGTTCACAAACTGTCCTATTTATTACTAAGTCGGTTATTATGAAATTATTTAAGGATAAAACAAAACGAGATAGTAAGCCCATGAGGCTATATAATTAAGTATATATACTTAATTGTATTGCCTACGCCCCTAAACAGTATTATTATTCACACATCCTTTTGCGTCACACATGTTTAATTTAACCAAAATTTGATAATTACTAGAAAATGTTACAATAAAAATATTTATTTTTTAATCCATTTTTTCATTATTTTCGGCTCTAAATTTGCGCGTGTGACACTTCACATTGATAAGAGATTTACTAAAAACATTGAATTAAAGAAGTTTATCTTTCTCGTATAAATGCTTATAGACAAAAATTGACAAGTTAAAATACTGATACCACAAATAAGCTGTTCATTGATGATGATCTCATATTGGTGACGCGTGACTTTAAACGTCTTTAATTTCGTGCGCAGTTTCAGACATAAATAATACTATGGGTAATTGAGAATCGTTATGCTTATACATTACTACATGTTTATTTTCAACCATTTTTTTTTCAAATAAAACACTTTAACGGTTTAAAATGCGATATATATTAGTTAAACTTATTTCAAAATTATTTAAAGTACGATCGGACTGGGAGCCGTGTCAAAAAAGAATTTTCAAATAATTTTAACTAAGATATATATCGCGTTTTAAACTGTTAGAGTGTTTTATTTTAATGTGTACTACGTACGTAACCTGCAGACAGTATTTTGTTGAGTAACAAACAGAGACTTGTTTAGGAAAGTATTGTACTTCTAAAGGTATAAAATGTAGAATATTTATATAAGGTTACTTTAATACTGTCTATAGTTTACGCGAGTAGTACACATTTAAATAAAACACTTTAACGGTTTAAAACGCGATATATTAGTTAAGCTTATTTGAAAATTATTTTTTAACTTTGCCCGACGTTTCAGATGCTGTGCAGCAGCCGTGGTCACGGGGAGACTTTACAGCATGGTCAAGATGGTCACGTAATACGTACTAGTTGCGTTCACTAGACTATAGATAAGACTTATGATTAGGGTTCAACTTCATAGATTTTAACAACACGTTAATAACGTGTAAGTTGCTAACTCTGTAGAGAGGGTAACAATGCGTTATTTAGAAATATGTGTATCTGCCACTTTATCCGCTTGGACTAGTTATTGGGCATCATAATATTTAGTTTATGCTAAGTTTTCTCTTCAACTTTATAAATTGAAGGTGTTAGACATCGTCCCGTGGTTCTTGTGTGTCAATCTTATAAGATAGACGAATATCATCAGAGACATTATTATAGATTGGTTAAAAATGACATTCTACCGTGCATATTTTTTGATTTCTTGAACATTTTTCGAAGCCCACGCACAGGAAGTCACGAAAGATGAATAATTTTCCCCGTTTTTTTTCCACATTTCTCTCTGTCTCTACAGTCCTTTTGCTCACAGCGTGATGCAACTAGCCTTTGAGTATCAAAGCATTCCTCGATAAGAGGTCCAACCAACACAACAAGATTCTACTAATCGAATAGTACGTTCTTCAGATACTCTTTATAATATTGGTATTGATACAATAAAAGCTATTACGCAAAGTAAGAATTGGGTTATAACCATAAAAGGTTTCTTGGCTCGAATCTGATAACTCTCGCCAAAATAATCGGAAGCACTAATAAGCTATGCATATAATGACTACGAACCTATAAACTAAGCAACCTGTACCTGTCATCAAGATTGGCAAAAACATTACAATAAACATTTATATTTATTTGAATCGTTACATCACTATAATTAGGTATCTATTAATTATTACACTCAACATTGTAATTTGTATGAGATAAATGTAGGTTTACTCTTTTGTACGTTATATTCTTATTGGTCTGAAAAGTCTGGTCATTTGGGTGGTAGGAATAATTCCACTCGGACATATAGTCCGAGTGGAATTATTCCACACAACACACAACCATATGTGGGAAAGTCACGTAAACTTCATGGTTAAGCTTAAGGACTGAAGCAGTCAGAGGATATCCGAATGACGAAATAGGCCGACAACGCATCTTATTTAATTTTATAGGGTGGGACATTTTACCATCAAGTTAACTTAGTTTACTTGATGGTATAATGCCTTGTCCGTACACTACTGTTATAAAAAAAAACATAAGGTTTCTCTATATTCTACTAAGAGATTAAGAATAAAATCTTTTGAAAGACTATTTAGAGATCTAAGTAGAAGTTAATGCAATACCAATCAGAAAATTAAGTTTATATAGACGGTACGTAGCTCCGTAGCACTTCGTAGCAAAGAAAACTTTTTATTTCTAACTGTTATTTACGACGTATGTTATTATAATATATACCGTGAAACCTTGTTTCCCTAATCTGGAGCATGGGGCAAACCTCAGTCAGTTGCAACGAAGACTTCGCACACAGACAAGTAGACAAATAAAAAACTTATTGCTTAATATGTTTTTTACATATGATACTTTTTCGATACTTCGATAGAATCCTCCATAATCAAGACTGTCGCAAACTGAATTTTAAACGCGTAAAAAATGTTTTTTTTTTTAATTTATATCATTTGCCTAAACTACAAGTAATATTCAGTTAGAAACTTTCCATATATCTATTATCTCTAAATAAACAAAATAAATACTTTTATTTTGTTTGTATAAAACATTAGCATCACGTAGCAGTTTAAAATGAATTAAAATTGATGTCTCTATAAAATGTAATTAGCAGAGCAGACGTATAACAAAGTGCAATGGAAAGTCGTTAAAATAATATAATGTCTGATCTTGAGCGAGTTGAGCTAAATATAAACGTTGATAACGAGCCAGATTTCGTTAAACATAGCGTCTTTTAGAAAATAGCACGATACGTTGCCGATTATTTTTTGTCATCAGAAAAGTGCTGGTTGATTATTACGCCCTATATCCTAAACTAGCTGTGTCAGCGACTTCGTCCGCGAGAATCGTTATTTTGGGCGTCCAAATTCGTTTTTGCAAACCCCTTCATCTTTATAAATTTAAGCCATAATGATAAATAATCCCAATTTTGTTCACATTTCTAGCTGCATCTTCGCTTATATTAATTAGTCACAGGGCGATGTCTTATAGCCCATAGCCTTTCTCGATAAATGTTCTAACCAACAAAAAAGGAATTCTTCAATTCGAACCCGTAGTTCCTGAGATTAGGGCGTTCGAACTAACAAACAAACAAACTCTTCGGCCTTATATATTAGTATAGATGGGTGGTAGGAATATCGAAATTTCGTCCAGGTCTAGAACCGTCTGCAGAACACACAAGTCCTACATCTGGACACTACTTCTTTTATAAAAGGAGAGAAACTCGCTCCATTGCTAAACTAGAGGATTTATGCTAATATGCTTATACCAGGACCGACGGATACAGATATCCTTCAAAGCACAGGGGAGATGCCACGTCCTTCTTTCAAAATCCGGCTAGGTGGTAGAATCCAGATACTACCAATCAAAATTTGAGTTAGTCACTTGTTTCATTTATCGATGCTTGTAATAAGTTATTGAATAAACTAAGGTTCTTTTGTGAAGCGTATAATAAAAAAAGATCATGTTATGTGATCTTTCTTTCCAAAAATTATAATGAATATTTTTGTCCTTTAAGTAGAGTGATGGTGTGTTTATAAAATAAACTAAAATCAACATTTCATTGATAAATATGTCGTTAATCTGTCACTAACATCCGGTTGTGTAAAACTTTATATTTCTTATTTATCTGACCTTTGTTTAGACATGTTTATGTATTTAAAACTGTGTTACCAAACACGTAAAATGTATTCATTTTCAAACTTTCATATATTAAACTAATATTAGATTATATACATTAAACATTTTAGGAATAGCAAGGTACACTTTGTTGAATAACATCGTCATAAACTATTCATAATCCAGTAAGGAAAATATGACAGCGTAAATGAATCATTAAAGCACTAAATATAATTTGTATTGCGGTGCATAATTTTCTCATGAATATCGTCACACACGTCAGTTTCACCTACACGGTGGAAATGATCAATTCTAGAATTTGTGACGTTGTGTAAAAGTAACATAAGTCACATAAAACAATTTAAATCCTAACTTTGTTTAAATGTTATTCAACTTCTAGTTATCGGAATTATCATTTATATTCGAATAAGTAGATATTATTGGAATATAACGAATTCATGACGAGTCGGTTTGTGTTGATAAAAAATTCACAACTTTTTTACGTTCACATAGAAGCCCATAGTAGGTGGCTTTGTACATAATATTGTTATTAAAATATCTAAGCTAGACCGTTTGACTTTACTGTATAGTTTGTTTTTACGCCGTTTAACACATATGTTTTATCAATATCAAAGCGTAAGGCCAATAACGTGAATATTTGATGACCAACCACACAGATAAGTAACAATGTCCGAATGAGTTTAGTAGAAAAACTGTAAAATATTTGACGCGTTAGCGGGGGCGGGCGGTCCGGCTAGGCGCCGCCGCCCAACGCGCCAGTGCGCGCCCGCCCAGCCCCGACACTCAACGTCGGCTCGTCATACAACACACCCGCTATTAACGATCATTATTTAATCGGTAAGACACCCAGTGGTCCTTTAGAGTGCAAGTGTTTTTCGAATTTTCGTGTCCCAGTGTATTGTTATCTCGCTCTAAGATCTAGAGATTTGTATTATCAGTTACGTTCTTATCTACAGCACGTAAGTTAACGGTGATATAACGGCGTTTCTCGTTTATCGAATTGGTATATGTTGTAAGTTTAATGTGTAATTTTATATAATTACTTCGCATTCGAATGTAAATTGTAAAAACAATACCGATTATTCTGTAGTCTATGCATATTTTATGTCTTAAACTTAAAAAATATTTGAAATAATAATAATGGATTAATTTAGACCTGTGGTTATGAACATTTCTTTTCAAAACGTTTACAGTTAAGTACTGTTTAATTTCTTTTTAGTATTGAAAATATCACTGCAGCATTTTCAAATAATACCTTCCATCCTATCCCCTATACCCTTGTATCGTTCTTTTAATGTTATTGTATAGATAAAACTAACATATAAGTTACTTTATTTAATGTAGTCGAAATTTTGTGCCAAACGGCGTATATTGCTTATGCTAGCATATATTTTTAAATTGCAATTTTAGTCTAAGAGCCGGTAACGCAACCTATGAATCATAGAGCGGATTTATTGAAGGGCGGAATGCTTTCGTGTCGTGTCAGCGGTCAGCACCCGAATGCTGTGAATCCGATACGGCTCGCTCCGCAACTATTTTTGGCCGCACACGCCGAGCCAAATTTGCAATCCTATCGACGCGTTCAAGTATTTTTGTAACCGTTTCACAATCCAGCAACTTTTTACACCTTCACTTTATGGAACGCTATTTCAAGAAGCTGACATTGACTCTAAATAGGCGCGAATAAGACAAAAACTTACGACATTGGCCTTCGTTCGTGGACCGGATGTGGAATGAATCGCGATGAATTATTTTAATGTCAAGTTTACTCAAATTGTAAATTTTATTATTATACAACATTTATTAATATCGAAAACTATTATGATATCGGTAGGATTAAAAAATGCCTGGCTATTTACAAATTAAAGTGACGATCTTCGATGATGTTAAGCAGACTATACCATACCTAAGGCGCATGATTTTTGGCAGAATAATTGATTTATGATGCCATTATTTGATCACGTGATCGTAAGAACGCTAAACGTCGATCACATGTCGGAAATTTGATCAATGAAGCTTCATGCTCTTCCACAAATAGATTATTGACGCAAATGCGCAGAGATATCAATGTGATACGACAGATCAAATGGATTTACGTATATAATTATTCGATATAGCTCCATTGAAATAAACATTTCATTTTGAAACTCTCTATTAAACGGTACCCGAGGAATTGGTATATGTTGTAAGTTTAACGTTAAAACTTCTTATCAGATTAGTTTTTATTCGTAATAACCTCTAGGCTAATCCCAGAGGTTTGACTAAAATTATCAATAAATGTTTCTGATACAAAAATGTAAGACTTGAACTCTCCTCTCCATTTTTATTTAAGGCACGAATCATAGTAGGAATGTCAATAATTATTTATATACTGGCACCTCCAGTAAATAGAAATATTTGAAGATCGCAACAGCTGTGAAAGCTTACAAGGTCGTCTAAAACTTGAAAATAGCTTAGGAATCATCGTACATTTGTAAAAACGCTTTGGTCGTCACTGGTTATGTTGGCGGTCAGCCAAGTCCATGGGCCATTCGGCACGGCACCTAGCCACCGAGACAGCTATTTGCGTCCCAAATGTAACTACCTACGTCATTGCTCTATTTACGAGCTAGCATTGTATTATGTCATCTGATTACTGAATATGATATAGCAGATAACCAAGTATTTGTAAACAAATTGTGCATTTCCATTCCAGAAAACGAGCACGACACACCGTCAACATGTTTAAAAGTCATTTAGAGATGATTGGGAGAAATGAGACGCCCTCGAAGAAGGCCAGGTTCTGGCAGTCCTTCGTACGGTCTCTAAAAGGTATGAGTGTTTAGGATTTACAAATCAACACAGTTCTATGTTTATGCTTGAGTTGAGGCCACTGATTGGTGGAATTACATTTGTCTAGAAAACGTTATAATATTTTTTACCAATTCATATCTAGGTTTAAATTCATATAAGTGTAATTTGAAAACTTTAATATTTTTACATGAATGTACATGCATACGATGGCACTATATAAATTATAAATCGATTTTAGATTGAAAAAATTAGACTATTACATATCAATAGTAACAAAGACGATGGTCTGTAGGACACGGTAGCTCAATGAGTAAGAACAGCACGGGACTCTGGATGCCGTTTCAAGTCTAGCCAGTGTTGTAAATTTTTTCTATCTTAAATTTTTAATTTTAAGAGTAATCAGTTTTTGTACCTAGTTTATTATTTTCAAATTGTTTTAGCCACGCATTCAACTATTTGCAATTTGTATATGTTTTTTATTTCACTATTTTATATAGAACTTTTTCTCGTACAACAGGATCAGAAGACATCAGGGCGGAGGAGAGATACAGGCCATCTCGCCGCAGCGTTTTCCCTGAACTCCTCTCGACCTACCCTTACAGCAAATCTATCTATGACGACCCCGTAGCTGCCGCTGAAAGGATCACTGTCCCCGGTTACCGTTACCTGCCAGTCCACCGCGAAGTCTACGGCTACTCCCCCAGGCCGATCTACGCGCACAACTACCCTCGCTCTCTGGAAGCGTACAGGCCAAGTTAGTTCAAATCAAAACAAACTAATTTCGCATTGCTCTTACAAGCGCTGCATAATTAATTTTTAACTCTCATCAGTCCCTAGCTTAAGGCACTTATCCCACCGCCGGCGAGGGAGCAGGTATTTGCAATCCTCTCTGATACTAACTTTGAAACAGATATTTATTATGAATAAAGAGTTGTACATATTAATAATTGATCGTGCTGAATTCCAAAAGCTAGAACTAGTTAGATCTTGCCGAGATACAAACAAACAGTAATTTATTTAACTCGTCGTAAGTGGCCCGCGCTTATAGTAAGTAATACGATAAATCCCATATACAATTTATTTATTCAAACAATTACTCGTCGGCTGTGGGACAGTAGCCTAAGTAAATGTATATATTCTAAAGTTAATAATCTGGAATACTTGTAAATATAAAGCCCTGTTTCGCAATTATAAAACGCATTCACGGCATCAATATTTTAATTGTTTCAGCGTCAAAGTCCGGAGCTGTGTAGATTAGGTTTAGAACCGTCCGCTTATAATATCAAATTGAATATGTATGCTTTAATAAATTCAGGTGTAAAAGTTATATTGTAAATGATTTCTACTATTAAGCGATCAAGAACCAATATTATGTAATAAGTGCATTTTTAAATAAAGCCTTACGCTGTCTAAGTGAAGTGAGACCGGTTGAAAGCTTGAAGATTTAACTCACATTACTGTCTCACAAGATCTATTCACGAACATAATATTGTTCAATTTGCGTACACAATCATCGTCAATGTCTTAGGGTTCGCAAAAATGCATAAAACAAATGAGTGTCCGGTGTTTACGTCCCTTCATTATCATTGCATTTAAATGTGAAACATTTCGCCATTTTGTTTACATAACGCCTCTTTGCTGCAATAAAGTATCGTACAAAATATATTTTACAGAGGAACTATAAATAAATAGTTATTTAATTAAACTAAAAATGTGTATCGTGTTAAAGCAAATGTTTTATTTTTGTCAGTGCAAGAAGGACTACATTATATTTATAATTTGTGTTAATTGGCGAGTTCGGCGATAGTTTATTAGAAGGCTGGTCAAAGTATTGAAACAGAGAGGCGATAATAAGCATTTGCCTGATTAAATATTCATAACCGCATGGCACATTATAGAAATCACCTCTTACATAACAACATTTACTCATCGATGTACTGATCTCATTAAATCTTCCAGCATTCCTCAGGAATCACATGTTTTAATGTTGGCAATTCCCTTACTATGTAAAAACGTAGCCTGATTCATTTTTAACTCATCGGTTTCTTAAACGCAACCATTTATACCAGTCGGTATGGTTCGAATGTAAGGAAACTGAAAGCGGTTTTGTGAATCAGGCCCTAGTCAAATCGAGCAATAATACAGAGGTGAGTTCTACAAGTAATATCAAATAACTTTCATTTTTCTCATTTAAATGTATCTTAACTAAAGCTTACGCTACGCATTTTAACGTAGAATGGTACAAATTGTTGCACTAAGACTTTCTTAACCACCTTCAAAGTGAATTATTCATTTTGGACCATAAATGGACAAAACACTTAAATTATAGCAATAACTATAAGTTTTTAAAGTATATCAAAGTCACTATACATTTTATTCAAAACTCCAACCAATTAAAGTCCTCTAAAAAGGACCTATCGTTCTCATCTTCATTAGCCTTGGGTGTCCGCTAATTCTGTATTTTCCTGTCCAGTCTACCACGTGCCCAGGCGTATCCGACGAGGCGTTGACCCCTTCGACGCCCACAAAGCGTGGCAGGACCACCTCGACAGACTGGCCGCCATCGACCGCTTATATCCTTCCCGCTACGGACTCTACCTGAAGGACAGGGCATACCCCATCACCGACTTGAGCGCTCCCATCGTCGACCCCCTCAACCCAAAGAGCCTTAAAGGCATCGAATATGAACCCGACAACAAACCTAGCTGGGGAACAGGTAAATTTTATTAAAATATATGCACGATCACGTTAGGTTAAGATAGGTTATCGAATATCGGAATTTCCTCGTTCATAAGAGTATCATTGGAGGTCTTTTCAAGTGTCTCGATAAGACAAACGAACGAGCGATTCCGATGTCAAATCCGTGAATGAGCGAGGTTGAATGGCTCCAAAGAAAATTTTATAATGTTTGAAGTGGATACATTCCAGCCACAGCGAGTCACGTCGAACAGGAAATTATGTAATGAGATCAGTCGACATTCACAAGAAGATTCTTTGCTCATTGAATCTCTCTCTGCTGGGTGTAGTCTTTTCTTATCGGTCCTTTTCTAGAATATACCTTAATTCTCTTTCAATATTTTTACATACTTTTCTATATTTATAAATTGTTATATACTTCAGTATTTAATAGAATATCTCTGTTACGTTATTTATAACGCAAAATTAGTGCAAATTATGTTTTGTTTTGCTATTTCGTTTTATTTATACAATTGAGATGTTACTATTATTTTACTGAGTACTTATATTCTGTTGTTTATACCGAGTACAAATTTATCTACATAAAAACTAACCAATTCATTTTTTATTAAAATATAAAAGACAATATCGTGTTTAATTTAGTAGCTTAGTACCTTCCTTTCATTTGCATTTATGTCATGCATTTCTTATTCAAAATTCTTCGCGGGCAGCTCACGATATCGCTGAAATTTGTTTTTAGCTCATTTGCATGAACCGCATTGTAAATATGCGCAAGACGACATCTGTGAGAATGTTTTGAATTACTTACGCATCACGAACAGTACACTCCATCTAAAATCTTAGGTTCGTCGCACACGAGCCACCAGGGCCAGCGATGAAATGCCGACAGCATATTTATATATTTTTATTTGTATAGCAGCCATGTGTCTTGAAGGGACGCTATACAAAATGTACAAAAATAATACGAAATATGGTGGTCGTACGGTATCATGGTTGTAGCTGGTGGCGCGTGAGCGGAAAGGCTGTTTATTGGTTTTGCATCAAGTCGGCATGTGTTTCGTCCAATTTCGTATTGACCTTGAGGCTTCAATGAAGGATCTTGGCCATCGCGGTTATCGGACACGTTCAGTAAGGATCCATTTTTCGCTGACGCCGAAAAATGGGCTGGGTTCGATCGGTCTCTGCGAGGGAAATCACCGACACCCGTGAAGCCAAGGATTAGCGTTCCCCGCGATAGCGAGGTCGCATTCGACGCGGACGGTAAGGGCAACATCTCTATACTCTTCGTCACAACCCTGTCTGTTACTTGTCGATACTTTGTCTAATAAGAATAAGACGAGTAGTTAGATATAATTTTTCCTTACCGATGTGAATTAGAATCCGAGACGTCGACATTCACGAAATTTTCTTTCTTTCTGAGTGTACATGTTCTTATACAAAATGCTTTAACTACTAAACTATTAACGAATTGTACTAATAAGTTAATATCGATATAACAAACAATATTCTGACTTGATTGTACTAAATCAATAATAATTTATCTAATTGGTAATAAGCTAATCTATGTAACGTTAGTTAGAAGGATAATAAATATTATAATAGAATCATAACTTGCAATGTCGTTTCTCTAGTAAGAAATAATTGCATTGCTTATAAATATAATACTAATTATATTAAAAGTGTTGGGTTATGCTTACACGAGCTTATTCATTGTACATGGGCGATGACGAAGAGAAACGGACATGTTGCCCGGATATTAATGAATGTGATATATAGGTGCGCCGTTGTACAACGCTGGTGGATTGAGACGCAGACCGTGGGCTGACATTTTCAACCCAAGCCCGTCTCTACCAATTTCTGCTATCACGAGGGATCCATTCTGGTACGATTGGCCCGAGCTGAGACCCATGGCGCGGTGGGACCGCAGCCCCTCCTACATCCGAGACTCATATCTGTCTCCAGTTAAACGCACCTTCCTCTGGGACAAACATCCGATCCGGCCCCTAGGTTAGTACTTATACTTTGCCACATATAGACGATAGGTTTGACAGTTTACGATTATGAATTTATGACAATGTATGTATTATACTTTATTAATAAATATTTTAGCTAGTAACATATTATAAACTGTGAAATTCAAATAACGCTCTCTTTGTTTAATTTATATGTTCTTCGTATAAAAAAAATTATCGATTGCAAGTAGTGTTAATAGATAAGGTAACTTAACTTAAGCAAACAACGTGGACTGATTACCCGGCCTTCTATCGGTGTCTCTAATAGTTAACAAATTAATTAAAAATTAATAATCGAGTGGATTCTCAAACGATTGCTGTCAAACTTATCATTCTATATTGTACAAAGTATAGCCGGGCAAACTATCGATGCTTCTCACTCAAAGCTGTACAATTCGCCCTATCGTATCTTCTAGCTAACACTTTTTTAATCGCAATTCTCTGATCACGGCAGATTTAATGATGGCTGACTTATTCACAGTGGACGATATAAGCAAGACTTTACCTTTCGTTCGTAGTCTGTAAAATGTGACATCGGGTATCTTTAATAGGTAACTTTGACCCCGAGTAGATCGTATTGTCCCTACTATTAAATTGTATACCCTGTTTATAAGGTAACGTAACATTCGAGTCATCTTGCGTATATTTTCATGCACTAGCCAGTTCTATAAAATACATGGTGTTCATTCTATAGCATTCTATTGTACGTACATATAATTATATCGTTTTTCCCTTACCATGCAGTTACTAATTCAATATTATTATACTACCGGTATCTATTAAATAATATATATGTGTTGTGATAGTTTGTTGTTATTTTGTGTTAAATATTTCGTACTTTTATTGTTGTATTTATTTTTAACGTCAATCCTTATTTCAGCTGCTGCTTTTTAAGAGGCCGGCCAACGAAGCTACTGTTCTATGTTGTGTAAAAATTCAATGAATATTACAAACGTTACAACAGATACGAACATCTAAAAATTTTGACTATGTTAAAAATTATAACTAAACCGTTATTATAACCTCCAGTTTTAAATGATGATCAAAGACTGTTAGAACATAGTCACTGCCAGAAACTCAATCTTTGTTATTAAATTAATTGTTTTTATTATTTTAAACTACTATTTTTATGTACATTAAAACAAACAAAAAAATAAATAAAAAAATTTAAAAACAACAGCTTATTTTATTTTATTGTGAGAACTGAAGTAGAAAATCGTTGATCGAGGAACTTACCGGTCTATTTGAATTGAGTAGACGAGTAAAATAATAATAGTAACTTAACATGCAACTTTTAAACATCTTCGTAGTTGTTATAAAGCAAGTAGAAATAACTGAAGATGAGTAACATAATTTTAATATATTGATCATATCTTGACCTTTTTTAAACTCCTTTATAATAGCTTTCCATTATCTATGTCTTGCTTTGTCTTATACAGTATATTATATCTGTATCTAATGTCAATTGTCAACTAAATATAATGACGGGTATGCGTTATTTCACAACGCCATTATTTTCCGTTAGTAAACTGAAATTTCAAATTTACTAACTATTGCATCTGAGCATTTATTAATAGATAGGATCGTTTATGTTATGGATCTGGGAGATTAGTAGGAAGATAAGTGCAGTATTAAGCGATAACGAGAGATAAGTGATTGACACAATTTGAATAAAGGGTTTCTCAATCATGGAAAATGAAAACATAACAAATGTAACCAGTTCTCAGTGTAACTTTGATAATTTGACTATTTTAAAGGAATTCTCAAATATTACAAATGCTATAAGGTACGCTTCTTAATATATAATATGTAAAAGTTGTGTGCTATAAGAATCAGCATTCATAATATTGATAGCATGCTTAAGATGTAGATTATTATGACTCTAACAAAAAACAAGTATATAAACAATGGATTTTTATTTAAGTAATAAAATGTATGATTACAGCAATGAAGATTTTCTTGACATAGTCCCAAAAGCTAAAATGGGTAGAGTGTATTGGATAACTGTTTTAAATTGTTTAAAGCAGCGAATTCTAGATGAAATGGTTGAAGAAATGAATTCAATGTGGAGTTTTGAAAATATGAACATCAAGTTGGATGTACTCGAAAAGCAAAAAGAGAAATTCTCTGATATACCTTCTGACACTCAACTATGGTATAAAGCACCTAATTATAAGAAAATTTTTATGTTGTTGTGTGAAATCCTGTTTCTCCTAATGGGGCAAAGGGCGAACACAATTCCTGTGTCCGTTTCACTGATTGGTTTTATTTACAGGCAAGTAGTTGATCGGACTTCTGCACCCTGCCAGACTGAAACAATTTATTGTTTCCCCGGGATTCGACCCAAGACTTTCTCCCGCTTAATACAATGCAAGGCAACATATTTAACCATTTAGCTACAGAGGCGGTTATGTTGTTATAATAATGCTATTTTTTTTTATTTTTCCAATAATAAATTGATTTACTCTAATTTATAGGCGACCGCAGCACAACAACATCAAAGACCAATTAAGAGCTTCAGATGCTGCAATTTTAAGAAAACAAAAGGCATTATTAGAACCTATATCAAAGGAATACAACACAAAAGTAAGCAAACTAAAGAAAACAGTACTTGCTAAGCGGCAGTACATTAAAGCTTTACAAATGGACATACAGAAGTATCAAAAAAAAAATGAAGAGATTATATCACAAATTAGTGAAAAAATTCAGTCACATGCTAAATTGTCACAGGATATTGTACCAAAGTTTGACAACAGTATTTGGTCAAAAAAGGATGATTTTCATGGATAAGTTATGACACAGATGTTGAATAAAATTTATATTTCAGAAAAAATTGTACACACTTGAGAAACTTATAACAGAAATTTCTTATATTTCTAAATCAAATTAACATGGAACAAATAGGTATATTAATTTTGCAAGTGTTACATTGTGAAGAAGTATGTTAAGTGAAATACAGTGTACCAAAAGTTAAGAAGCAAATCACATACAAGCATCAATTTGCAGTGGTTCAATAAGCATACTATAACATGACAAGAAGTTTCTCGAGTACTCTAAATCAACTATATACTAAACAATAAAGCTTTTTACTTCTAATTTAATTAACTTTAGGATAGTGGATTGCCAAATCGTTACACAATTTTTATATGAAACATACAATAACTGTAAATGCAATAGAATGAAACAAAAATAAAATCTTATTTTAAATAGTTATATTTATTATTGATTATTTGACAATGTTAATATAGCTAAAAAATAAAATTGTACAATGCAAATCTGCATATAATTTTTATTATTTAATATAATATAGCAATTGCACTATTGTTGCGAGGACTACACTGCATACTACAGTCATTAAAAATAATATCAATAAAGAAAGGAAGATGAAGCCTCTAGGGAGATCACACCGATTTGCCATCAATTTTGAAATCTACTTATTTGTAAGGGTAATACTGTATGCAAAATAATATTAATTTCACTGGAAACATGAGCTCACCCCCTATGCATACTATTAAATTGCAATGGAGCCCTACAGTAAAAATAAACACTTATTAGCTACGGGTGAAGGTTAATATCATGTCTTAGGCCAACTTCTCCAAAGGACAATAACATGTATTCTGAAATTCGTCACAAATAATAATTTAGAATACGACGATGTCGGTTTTAAAAACCTGGTCGCCAACTTAGAATTTTTAGTTTCGTCATCAACCAATTTTTCTTAAGACCTATTATACTTTATATTTATAGGCACATTAGTTACAGGATAAGAAAATCAAATGTGTTCTTCGATCCACTAAAACTCGGGTGTATAGTGAACGCCTCAACGCTTTGTCCAATGCCCGCATCATCGCCTGCCACTTCATTTCACTAAATTTCACTATGTCAATAAAACAAGAAAGGGTAAGGCTGCATTTATAAGGGATCGAAAAAGCTGCAGGCAAGAGACATCGCCGAATAAGTTATCTTTCAAAACAGTGAACTAACCTCTAATTTATCTTTAAAAAATAAAAGGCACAAAATTGATAAAATAATTTAACTATACAGATAACATTTATTCGACTCTGTCTAATGACCACACTAACGTAGTATGATACATGATACAATTAAATTATTTGTAGCATCCTTCTCACTGAGCAGCACACTGGATCCCAAACGTCAGTTATTTCTTTTTGGGCGGTGATCGTTGGGGTGTAGCCGGTCTGCCGCTGTTGATGCCGTTGTACTGATATTTAGCTTTTTTCTCAGATGGTTTTAGTATCTGTAAAAAAAAATGTTTGTGGGTTTGCCAAAAAACCAAAGTGTGACTACATAATATTATGTTACCACTGTTTTGTAAAAGCACGTCTTTTTACCTGGAAAGAACACATAAGTGTTTCATCAACAGACATCATACCACCGGCGTTGTCAAATTCTCCACAATAATTTGGAGCAGAAAAAAGTGTTACAAGTTGTCTCTTGGCAAAGAATTCATAACCATCTTCAACCACCTGTGAAAAGGAAATTCTCTTAAATGATTTTCATTCAATATAGAAACTATTGTTTGTACCAAAGGTAGACACTATAGAGTGTTATAGGTTTTCAGCAATATAACTCTTCAATCAAAGCTAGATAATAACTGCGGAAGCCAAGTTATAAGAGGTAAATAAGCTAATTACCTGATGGGCTCTGCAGATCAGGTCTAAGTCATGTCTATTGAGGAATTTGCTGACAACATCAGGCCCAAACGTGAATGATACACCGCGGTCATTTTCACCCCAGCCTTGGACGTCTTTATCTGGGTCTGACCAAAGCAAGTCACAGAGTAAACCTGTAATGATGTTGAATGCTTCATGTCTGTTTGTATCTTTTAAAGTACTGCTGACACCTTTTTGAAGTTTACCAACAGATTAAAGCTAGCCGTTTAAATCTTATTGTAATTGTCAAATCAATGCTTTTTGGATTCTAGGTGAGGGATTAGTCATCAAATATTCTTGTCCTGTCAATATGCGACGATTTTACTACTGACTTTGTACAAAATCTTAGTAGACCATTCTCCAATAAGCAATACAATTTGAGTATTGCTTATTGGAGAATGGCACGTCACGAATTAACACGTCCTATATGCTTCCACAAGCTTACCAGTGTCAGGCACATCTGTGGGTCGCATGATTCGTCGGATTTGCTCCATGCCTTGCAAATCCGGTGAGAGACCGCCATGACAGCAGAATATTTTCTCGTCAATAATTGCTGCAATCGGGAGGCAGTTGAAACAGTCAGTGAATGTCTTCCACAGTTTTATATTGTATCGACGTTTACATTCATCATAGAACCCTGAAAATAAATTAAGAAAAAATTAATATGACATGTTTTTATATGTCAATCATTAACTTTAACCAAGCCAGAACACATAGGGTTTTTCTTTCTATAAAACAAGTTCCACAGATTTGCGTCCGTGCCCTTTTTCGATTGTATAATATTACTGTGAAAATTTTGTAATTGTACACGCCGTGTTAGTCAGAGGTCCTGGGTTACAAGCACAAGGTCATGCTGGGCGGCATTCTAATCAAATACTGCCCTGTTAATAATTGATTAGTAAAACATCTATTTGCAATTTCTGTGCCCGTTTTGCTGACCATGTTATTAGACTAAGAAATTTTACACCATATAAAAGAACTCAAAGTCGGACGATCAGAAATAGATTAATTCGCCAGTCAGTTGTGAAAAGATAACTGGAAAGTTACCAAGGTTACTTCATAGTTTAGAGTTCTGGTATAAACTTTGATGTCTGGATAAACAAATAGTTACCATAAATACGATTTATGCTCGCGCACTCGTGATTGCCGCGCAGGAGGAAAAAATTCTCGGGATACTTGATTTTATACGCCAGTAAGAGGCATATGGTCTCGAGAGACTGCTTGCCGCGGTCCACGTAATCGCCCAAAAATAGATAGTTGGCTTCGGGCGGGAAGCCGCCGTATTCGAAGAGACGCAACAAATCGGTGTATTGTCCATGAATATCACCTGGAAGACACCATTAATTATTAACCTATAAATTTACATTTACATACATAGTAGGACACTTAAGAATTACGAGAAGAATATGTTTATTTCTTAGGGTATTTTATTGTACAGCTTAAATTTTTGTCAACATATAACATACTATTTCTATACCAACTGAGTTATATTTATTTGTAACCAGCACATCTATAATTTACTGGTTACAAATAACTAATGAAACTGGATCATTTGTTTTATATTTTATAGTATTCTTTTTATTATATTTTAGCTATTTTTCTATAAAAAAAACATATTGTATGGTTTACTTTCAAATAAATTAATATCATATTTCTTGTGGTTCATTTGATATTGTCAAGTTTTATCACAGAAATGGTGCCTTATATAAAGAAAACATTTATCCTCCTCGATCTTGACAATGTTTGCAAATACAAACATATTTTTACTATCTTGGCATGCAAAAACATGGAACAGACAGATTATCAGTTTAATACAAAATTCATTGGTCCTCAATTACATACTAACATGCAAACCAATATTATGACAAATATATTACAAGGTTTGTGAATATTTAAACTCATAAAAGAACAACGTCAGTTCTGTAATAGCTTTTATTTTTACTTTTAGTACAAAAAATTATGATAAGTATGAAAACATATTTGATTTAAAGTTCAAATCATAGAATTCTTTTAAACCTAATTATTCTGAAAAATCAATGACATTTTAGCTGGGCTAGAACTGGCATCCACATAGCACATCTGTGCTACTGCTCTAATGAATTAAGCTCAGAATTATGTACATTATGTAGGTAATCCATACTAAAAACTTTATGGCTTGGAGGATACTGATTCACATAGCTTATGCTGCTAGTTTGGTTGTACAATAACAATAAATTAGTAAAAAAATCTTTATTTATATGATTTTGATAATAATACAGAATATTACAAAATTACAGTACTAACAGCATTTAGGCCACAGATATTTTTTTAGACTATGGGTATACATTTAGTTAGAAATTTTCTTGTTTTTTTTTTCTCTAATAGATTTCTTGTTTATTAATTTTATAGTATTATTTATCTGGATTGTCTTCTATTGGGAATGATTAAAGTGAGTAGTTGTCCGTCTTGAAGTCTTTAAAATATTATATTATGCACAAGGAGAAAACTAAAAAAAGACTACTTACCACAAATTTTGAGTGGTGCCTCCAATTCCAAAAGTATTGGCTGCTGCAGGAAGATCTCTCTGGATTTGGTGCATAGCCCACGGACCTCCGACTCTGACATCTGCACAGTCTTTCCTGGGCGACATCCTCGAACTGTTACAATGCAACACAAAATAAATAAAACAAACATGCAATTAAATATAAATTGTAAGGCCAAAAGAATAAAATATAAAAATAAAAACAATGGAGTGTGCAAGACATGTACTTGTTATTAGAATGATTTCATCTTCCTTATTACCATTATAATAGTGTCTTGGATGTCTTATTAAATAGACAACACATTAGAGATAGAGCTTCTATTGTTATACATTGTAGTCGGGCAATGCTTAATGTTTTCAAGGACACATCTAACAATGTTGAAGCAGCATTGCAAATTTCTTAATTATCACAAAATTATTAAAAGAAATTACAAAATAAACATTCCTTAACATTATTTATATACATTTCACAATGCCCATCTTATTAATTTATTGTATTCATTTTGTACTTAATTGCATAAACATAAAATATTTACAAACACTTGCATTTGACATAAAATTAAATGATGATGTTGTGATGCAAAAAAAACTGAAAACGCTTCGGAACATTTGGAAGGTAGTAAAAACTGAAAACATCTAGCAAGTACAGTCTTTAAGAATTCTGGATTAAACCATACATTCTCCAGAAAAGATGTCTTTGAATTTTCCTTTTCGCCTTGCAGTTTCTTGTTGCAGCCTGAATACTGATGTAACCCATAAAAAGCAGCATGATAAAGTGAAATTAATAGTAAAGTAACATACAATGCGAACAAAGCACAACAATAAAAGCCCATGAAATAATCGAAGCTATAAGATCCGTCAAAATGTTCAAGACGAAGGCACTTCGTAAAGTGCATTCGTATATATCGCAGAATAAATTTATTGCTATTCAAGACTAAATGCTTTTAATTCTGGATCGTCACAGCGTAGTAGATTCGGATAAGAATTCGGGATAATCGATTTATTTATGAGTTGCTCTTTACTATACCTATACACTCGATACACAATTACGCAACGTAATTCACATTTACACCGAGTTTATGTTTGAGCACAATGCCACTTACTTTAAAAACACTAAAAATAGCTATATCTGATGATTTAAGCAAATTTTTACCTTCTAAAAGTCTGTGAATAAGACTATCAACATTAAGTTCTTCCGCCATGTTTACTACACCACGATTATTTTACGTCAAATTAAACTCAAGAAGATTGTAATATGTCAGTTTAGACTAGTGTCATGGACAAGTTGCTCACAGAGTCAGACAGCCGAACTCTTTGCCATTTTTCTTTTTTTTTTGTCCAGAGACTACAGCAATAACCAGTTTTTTTAATTTTACAAACCAGTTGCGAATGAATAAACATACGATGCAGATAACTTTACAAATTTAATAAACTAGAAGATTTATTAACTCTAATGTTTGTTGCACATTGCGTTGAATAAAACAGACTGGCAACGCTGTTGTATATTACTAATTTTTTATTAATCTGTGTTTCTCCATATGCAATTGCATAGGCTGCTATATTTCATAGACTAATAGTGATTTGTTTTTAAATTCCATTTCATAAAGGCAAAATGTCGCTGATTTTGGTTGTCAAGCTATTTTCTCATTGCAATGTGCCGATCTGGCGCATACTATGTATGAAACACTACTGTTTGGCGTGTGCGTTGTATTTTATTTTAGACAAGACTTGACGGCTATTTAAAAAACTCCATGGCTCTCTATTGGACAACGTATTATTACTCGATCTGGTTTTCGTAAACATCCGAAACATAACAAGACTAATTTAAAGTCTTGTGGGAGGAAAATAATGTATAAAGCGGTCGGAAGCTTTAGGTGTATGCCGTAGGAAAGTATTTTGTATTTAACCTTTGTTTTATATTACGCATCACCATGGAAGAGAAGGTGGAAAGTGATCAGAGCTTTAGTGACGAAACTAGTAGTAGCTCATCAGATAGTTCAAGTGAGACTTCAGATAGTGAAGAGGAGATTGTTGAACCAGTACGTATTCTTGGACAGAATTTCGAACTACCACAAGACCTTTGTGAGGATCCTGCTTTATTTAAAGAATTCTTCTCAATGAAGACCTGGGAAAGTTTAGAGGATAAACATAAAGAACAGTTGAAGGAGCTACTGCCCAAATTTACAAAGAATGATGAAGAAGAAAAGGAAACTACAATCAAAATGCTTTTTAATCATGAACCTTTTTCTTTCACATCACCTTTAACTAGTTTATTTAAGAACTTACGACAGGGAAATTTTAGACCTGATATAGCTAGGATGAGGAAGTTTCTTACAAAAGCAAGATCAAAACAACAGCGACACAAGGTATGGTCACTTCAGTGAGTCAAGTTGTACTTTTTATATATTCCTTTACAAAAAAGTTATTGTTGTTAAAATGTGATCTATCGCTTTGTTTTAAGGTAAAGACATACTATGCAAAATTATTGCCAGAAGTATTAATATCACGGGAGCGCTTACTAGCAGTTGCCAAAGCATCTCCACCTGGCACATTGCCCCCTGTACCCATGCTACCACCCAAACCATCATCTAAGCTTAACTATAAACCATTATATGTAAGAGCAAGACATCGGTATTTTGAGGAGCTGTCAGCTATATGGAGTGAAGTTGGGTGTCAAGATTCGGAGGATGAAAATTATCCAGAAGGTCCCCCTGAGCACTTAAAAAAAAGAAGGAAAATTAATCCTGTACTTTCCCAGGTACTACTTAAGTAGACATTACTTATAGAATAACTAATTAAAATCTCTTAATTATAATCTTTAAAAAAATCTAATTAGATCATTAAAAGTGCTAATTAATATTACCTTATAAAATGTACAAAGAGAAATAATGTATTTATCAATATGTATATTTTTCAGACAGGTGATTCGAATATCTCTAGTACACTAGGCACTGGTGACTTTATCCGTCCATCTTCATTAGCCTGCTTAAAGAATGTATTAAGTACACATAGAACAAGAAGGCAACATAAAGAGGTATAGTATATAAGAAAACCTTTAACATCTTTATAGATTTAAAAGTTAGGCATAAACATATAATTAGTGTACATAATCTAAGTAATAATCTTTTCCTACCATTAATCATTGTTGATTATGTTTGTATTATCTGTTATATATGTATATATTTTAATTGCAAAATGAAAATACATTTTTATTTAATTCCATAGACACATCCTGAATTAAATACCACTGGTATAACACTTGATGATATAAAACAAAGAGTAGCAATATTTAATGGTTCAAAGAAACTAATGTTTGGAGGGTCCAAAGCTGATATTGGGATGCAGAAAATTAGAAAAGGAAAGAGAGAGTTGCAGCAGAAATCAAAAGACTTTAAATTACCATCAAAGAAATTTAAGGATGATCTAGACAACAGTGAAAATAAACTTTTACCGCACATAAAGATAAAGTGTGAGCAAGAGGAGACTGATTCAGAGAGTTCCTCCTTTTTCGACCCGAGAAATAGTCCAAGACAGTCTAAGAAAAGTATGGACTGTGTCGAAATTAAACAAGAAGTTGTGGATAATGACAATCAAAGGTAAGCATTAAACTTTGTACCTAAAGACTGAAGTGATCAACAATGTTTCATAATGAAAGAAAATAATTTATGTCTGTATTGAGAAGAATTCTTTTTGTAAGTGAATAGTAAATTTATTACAGTTTTAAATTGGATGAGCACGAGGCAGGCATTAAAAAGGAACCACAGGATACATTAGCCCAAACTAATTCGAAAACCGTTCAACCTGTACCAATTAAATTGGAAGATCTTGATGGAATTGGTAACAATAATTTACTTAACTATATCCCTATGTTAACTTAAGTAATCTAGGAAAGGTGACAATGCATTATTGGACTGGATATTGCAGTTCCAATAAGTAAAGTACTGTGTTTTATGTCTTATTGTAAAAGTTAGTCAGTGAAATCCCGTTTCCCCCTCGTGGGGCATGAGGCGAACATATTTTTATGTCCGTTTCACTGGTCCGTTCTATAACAGGCAAGTAGTTCATCAGACTTCTGTGTCCTGCCCCACCGAAACAATTTTTTGTTTCCCTGGGATTTAAACCCAGGACTTATGCAATATGTATAATCATTTGGCTACAGAGGCGGAGAGGTATCGTAAAAGTACTATTAAATAAAACACACTTGATGGTTTAAAATGCGAAATATATGTTTTCTTCTTTGGAAAAATATAAATTAATTAATATATTTTGTATTTGAAACCATTAAGTGTTTTTTTAGAAGTACTTTTTCCGTAAACTTAGGATGTTGGTCTACTTTACTTTTGTTCATGGTTTGAAAATACTACTTTTTGTAAAAAAACAAAATTTAACAAGAACATTTATCTAAAATAACGTATGTAGCATGTATAAGGAGAAAAATATAGGTGCTTGCATATTAAATACAAAAGTTTTTTGGCTCCTTTTTAGCTTTTCTTGCCTCATTTTATAGTGGTTTTTTGGCCACCCTATCATTAATAACGGATTTATGTAACATAGACATGATGGCGTTACCGGTAGCCCTGGCGGACGATTCCGGTGAAATGGTCGGTGGCGCAGCGGTGAAGGACGAAGATGACGCCCTAACAGAGACAACGCACGCCAACTTCTTGTCCTTGGTTCGAGCACTGTTTCCAGCGAAGGCAGCTCACCGTGCGTCTAAGAGGGAGCTACATGCTCGCTGTACGGCGGTAATGAGGTCTCCAATCGCACCCCTCAATACTTGGTATAATCGTGAGTACAGAACAAATATATTTAGGTGGTATACATTATAATGCAGGTTGCTACTAACTGAATTAACGCTACGGTGTTGTATAGGTCGCGGCACGAAAGACGTTGCGCATCGGTACAATCGCGCAAGTAATTAATTTAAAAAAACGATTAAATATTTATCTGTTATTATAACTGTGACCTTAAAGTAATTTAATTAACTATTTTATGATCATATTACTAAACAATCAAGGTTTAACAATTTCAACAAAACTTTATATTAACGTAATTCAAAACTTCAAAACGTGCCTGTACTCGAGAAGCAATCGGAGCTTCGTATTGGTCCGAGAAAGACAACACGACTGGGGAACTAATCGACACGTCGTTCACACTACACAAGCCACACTTCCATCCCTTCGATACCTAATTATTTACTTCTGCGCAAGATTCGTTCAGCGCTAATGATCCGTGCCGCTCCTTATACATGTACTTGAATATGTAATGGCCAAAATAAGTCGACAGTGCAACTTGTTTAGATGTTATATGTCTTCACGCCTTATTATATTTTTTAGTTTTACTACTTTCAACAAATTTTTAATTACTACTTAATTTTTTTTTCGTGTATACTTTTTTGAATTGGAGTTTAAAAGGGAACTTATAAATGAACATACATTTTTGTTGTGCTAGTAGCAACTAAAACACTATAGAAATTGAGAGTTATTGGTGTAAATAGTTATTTTCTATAGACATTTATTATTGAAACTTTAAGTTTAAACATTTTACATTGATTAATTTTTAGTAACTCTTTGAATTCATATTTACAGTGTCAGATGATTGGTGTTCAGAGCTCAACTCGGCATTAGAATTCCTAGCTGGTGAACGAGGACCCCACCCGGAAGACTTTGTGCCTTATTTACAGTTTATACCAGATTCTCAAGTAAGGTTACCTTCTACAAGTATGTAATTAATTAAAAAAAAACACTTCCTCTATATATATGTATGAAGGTATTTCAGTTTCTGTTGTACTAACCGATTTTATATGTGGGGGTTAAATTTAATTAGTTAATAAGTGATATGACTTACACTTTGACGTACACGTGGGTCTAATGGTAACATCACTGGATTGTGGGTACTCCTCTGATCTTGCTAGAAAATGCGTGGTAGGAATATTTAATATTTCGTCCGGGTCACAATCTACTGTACATTGATGAAAAAGTTGTGAACACTTTACAAATCATGTTTCGATTTCAGTCTCTGCATTTCCGAACATCCAAAGTCGGAAGTACAGTTCGAGAGCACATTTTTGAGTTGTTTAGCTCGGGTATTTTGCCTTCCATTAGTGTTATCTATATCTATAAAGTATGCCATTACCTACATCAACACTATATAACATATAGGATAACAAACACTTTCAGTCAAGAACATCAATTACTGTAATAAACATACATTCTAGACATTATAGCTTTTATTTCAATATAAATTTCTGCAGATGTATCAGTGGATCGGTGCTGGACGTGATTGCGACGCCATATTGGGTCGGTTGTGCGACCGCTGGCTGTGTGCCGCTTCGCCGACGCCACTCCAAACAGATGCGCCACCACCAAGGTAACCAGTGTATTTTTTCTAACTTGGCACAATGCACAGATTAAAAATTCTTTAGTTTGACATTTACATAAAGATAGGATGTAGGCAAAGTCAACGACAATAGAAGGAAGAAGTCCCACTCATGAACGATATTTTTAACTGTCAAGTTAAATAATAATGACACAAAAAAATTAAAAAAATCGTCATCAGACTAATTTTGAATACGTCGTTTATCTTAAATAAACGACGATCCATTTATAATCAATATTTAATAATTCCTGTGTTATCTGTAACAAAAAATTCACTATGGAAAAAGTCATCACTAGTTCTCTATGGTTTGAAATCAGTTGGGGTCTTTAGCCAAGTTAGAAAAAATACACTATATGTGTACTATGACAAATACATATTCATATTATCGTACACCAACTTCTTATCTTAAGTTGAACATGGCTCTATAAGACGGCCAATGGTTTTAATAGCATTACAAACTTTAGACTATGCTACTGTTATAACAAAAGTTTTTCAGCACGCATCTTGAGTTGAAAGTCGTGTTAATTATTGTAGGATTATATGTTATATGGTTTCGAAATAGCAATTATTCACATAAATTCCGCAGGTACCCAACAAATTGGATCATGAGACAACCTACTAGCGCGGAGATAGCTGAATTCAGATCTCAAGAGAGGAAAAGATTTGCGGCTGCATCTAAACCATTTACTTACATCCAATATGGGTATGCGGTACTTTTATGTAATAAGTGAATTTTTTGAGGAAGGACATTTCTTGTTTGTCGTTTGTTGTGTTTAAAAATATGTTTGGTTTATGTATCTATATCATATATTAATCTGGGGGAAAGCAGTTTATTTATTTGTTCTTAAACTTAAACATAATATAAACTAATGAGACGATTATGTATTTAAAGCTTTAAAGAAAAAATTAGACTATAACATTTACGGATTTGCAGAAAACTTCAATAGTATTGTCTATTTTAAAAACATTGTAGTATTAGACTTAAGGGTGACCACAAGGTCCCAACTAAATAAGAGTCATATTTTTTTCTTATTGAGATTTCACAGGACTAATATTTTAGTCACAGTAGGCTATATAGCTTATAATATTTTATTGATGGAATGTTTCAGTTATCGTGCTGTAGTTGGTCCAGCAAGTGGCATCCGAGCAGGCGGTGCGTGCGGCGGAGCAGCGTTGGTATCTCCCCAAAGACCACGCGCTGCGGGCTTCTTCGCCTTATTGCGGGATGCGCTTGCGCGCTTACCAAACGGCGAGGGGTCCAGGCGCGACATACTAACCTTTCTCAAGTGAGTATATGGTACATTCAATTATTAAAAAATACAAAGATCTGTCATATTTTTAAATTCTGTTAAGATGAGGTTATGGATTTTTTTTTTCAATATGGTTATCTATTTTTGTGTCTTTCCTTCATTAGCTAGAGAATTCATATACCTATTTATTACTTTGTACCAAAGTTTACAAGTGCTGTTTCTTATTTATAGCTTTTATTTTAATTTTGCCTTTTTTGCGCAAATTTGAGGTTTATTTCTGTCTCTTTGATGTGCTTAACCAAAAACATTTTAAAGCGACACCTTTAAAATTACTTTAGATGATTTATTCTATTTTGGTCCCTGTTCCTTCGAGCCGGATAGTACACTTATATAATGTTGTTGTTTCGTCCAACAGAATGTCGCAATGGATAATACCGTGTAGTGATCAGGCGCTATCATCTGCTATATCGACAGCACTGGACCGTCTTGTGTCAGTCAAACGGGATCCTATTGTTAAATACGATCATCGCACCGCCGTGTGGACGTATTTGCATAGGAATAGGTAAGGTTTATTTATATACGTTTCCTTTCTTATCTTTGCGCTTTAATCCAACAATTTTAGATGATATAGAATGACTGGTACTTTTTACGATTTCGTAGTCAAACTTTATAAGCTTATAATAAACTGATACCTTTACAGAACTGAAGAAGACTGGATAAAATGTAGTAACGCAAGGAATCGTACAAATAAAACCATTCCGCCTGAAATTTCACTACCAACACCACAGACTCCCGTCAATGTTAACCATGTAAGTAATTAATTAAATTTTATGTTATTTAATCTCTAAAATAGCATATTATCTGGTTCCAAGTATAATTTTGTATGTCGAAAAGTAATGGTGATTAAATTTTACCATGATTCAACGTTTCCTGTACCTTTATTAATCTTCGTTCACTCGCCTTTATAATATTAATGACTTAACTTCTGATTTCAGATGGAAATAGAAGCTGGTAGTACAGAAGACGTAATGGAGAACGGTTCAGATACGGACGTAGATGTCGATGACAGTGGGACGTCGACAAATCTGTCACAACTGTCCTCCGCGCAGCTTCTAATGCAAGTCACCCAAGCCCAAACGAAACAACCGCAAAAATCAAAGCTGAAGCCTAATCTCCCAAAATCAAAAACCACTAACAAACACGCACAGCCGAAGACAATTCCAAAAGCAGTGAAGCAGCTGCAGCCGAATGCAATAAAACTGAATCAGACAAAACCACTGTCACAAAAAACGAGCTTATTAGCCCAGAAATTCAAGAACTCGAAACCTGTGCAACTTAAATTAAACGCCAAACAAAGTGTTCCCCCACCAAAGAACATCCCATCACCAAATCAACAGAGCATTGGGTCTCCGAAACCAAATGTTGCGTCCCCAAAACCCAATGTTTCCTCCCCAAAACCAAATATTTCGTCCCCGAAAACAAATGTTCCGTCCCCGAAGCAAAGTGTTGCCAGTCCCAAACAAAGTGTCCAATCGCCGAAGCCAGTTCAAATTACAAAACAGAGTGTGTTAACTAATGATTTGAGCCAATCTTTAAGCGGTACTGTGGTTCTTCCCCCACAACGATCGCCGATGTTGAAACAGAAATCTTTGACGAAAATAGACGTGCCACAAATAATGGTATGTTATTTTTATTCTTTTTTATGTTTTTAGTATTAGATGCTCTAACTTGTGTAAAATTAAACACAGAATCGCTACCTGAGTTCTAAATTTATAACTCCACTTCTTTTTAAAGATTGAGATAATTGTGTAAATTTTAAACTAAAATACACACCAACTACTTTCCATTAAGAATATTTGTTGCACTTGCATCTTCCATTTTACTGTGCCTAATGATTAATATATTATTTAATTAATTGTAGACAACAACGCCAAGTTTATCGATGCCGCAGGCGACAATCTCTTTACCAACATTAATACAAGCAAATATTTCTACAACGCTTCCTCAAAACAGTGTGGTACAGACTTCGAAGGTAGTAAAAATTATACTTCTCTCAATGACATTTGTAAAAGCTTTTGTAACTTTCAAATAAGTTTTTCAACTTGTATTATAAAAAAAAAATCTTTCAAACATTTCCAGGTCTCCCAAGTAACTCGTTCTTTGCTAATAAGACCTTCAGCCGTTCAAACCACTGCCACTGTCTCTGCTGTGACAGTCTGTACTCCATCTGCGCAGGTTAGTATAACTTATACAATAAACAACTAAATTAAACAATATATTTATTTGTATTTCTTTGTTACATATATATGTATTTTTTTAAAGAGTTTGGTTTTTTTTTACTTTTGTCTTGTTTTAGATATCGACGGCCCCCAGACGAGGCATAGTCAGGGTTCTTAGTCCTGCCGTTTCTTCATCTGGAAAGTCACTGATATCGCCACGAGCTTTAATGCCTCAAGGTAAATATCAAGCAACTACAAATGTGTAATTGTTAATATAACCAACAATTGTACATTTTTGTTAATCACTGTTTCTTTTATCATTTGCACTGATCCATATAAACTTTAACAGCCGTTACTACGATAGCCAAAAAAAGACCATCCATCCCGATTCCGGTTACCACAACAGTCGCAGCCACTACTCAGGTGCGTTTATAAGAAATTCCGAAATATGCATTTTCTTTATGACAGTACATATATTAATCTTGCACGGTAATGTTTCAGAACTCAACAATAGTCACAAATGTGGTTAGCACTGTGTCGACTCCTGTGACGTCATCTATTATTACCCGCACAGTGCAACTGCCAGGTGGTCGCACAGTCCAACTCTCGAACCAAACAGTTCAATTGACAACTGGCCAAGCGGTTCAATTGTCCGGCCACACCCTACAACTATCCTCCCTCCAACTGCCTACGCACAGTGTTCGACTACCGAGCGGTCAAACAGTTCAGTTAGCTGCTCCGCAAACGGTCCAAGCTGTACGAGCCGTTGCAAACCAAAAACTGCAAAATCCAAGAGCCCAAACGCCTAACGTGCGTCCAACCGTCCAAATACCAGTCTCCACCGTACAATTGGCCGGACAAACAGTCCAAATTGGTGGACAAACTGTTCAATTGGCTGGCCAGAGTGTGCAATTAACCGGACACACAGTTAAACTTCCAAGTGGTCAGAGTGTACAAGTTGCTAGTCAAAATGTTTTACCTACACAAAGTGTGCAACTACCCAGCGGGCAAACTGTCCAATTGGGTCAGACAGTGCTAAGTGGACAGAATGTTCAATTGTCAAATCAAATTTCAAACCAAAGTCTACAGTTAGGGTCACAGACCGTGCATATAGGTAACCAAGCGGTGCAGTTAGGCGGTCAAACTGTCCAACTGCCGAGTGGTCAAACTCTGCAGTTAAGTGGGCAGACTGTGCAGTTGTCCAGTGGCCAGACTTTACAGTTGGCTAGCGGTCAAACACTACAGCTGGCTAATCAAACACCAAAGTCAATAGCTCAAGTTGTCAGAACACAAACGACCAGTGATAAGTCTCCACAGCCGATCGTCGCTAAATTATTAACAAATGCACAGGTAAGAATGAAAAAAAATCTTAGTGACAATACTGTGACTTGATTCAAAACAGAGGGGATATAAGAAATATTTCATTATATGTGCACATTACAATTATGTTCTTTACTATGTTATAGGGTCAAATGATATCCCTCGAAGGTATGATGGGTAACCGAGGAGTGGGGGTGGGAAGTGGAAGGGGCCGTGGCGTGCGGGTGATTTCCCCTTCTACAAGGTTAACAAGACCCGTTTTACTGACTTCTGCCAAACCGTTGCATAATATTATATTACAGGTAAAATGTTAATAAAATCTATTAATATTATTATTAGCAATTGTTAGACAAAAAGATGTTTTTTAAACATTAAATATTATTTCAGCAAAGCGACGGCAATGCACTACGAGTCCCGGCAAGTAGTAGCACGGCGACGTCTCAAACGATAGTTATAAGTAACATTGGTAAGAAATTTAGCTTACAAAATATTTTTCGTGGATTCTTTAATAGTTCCCATTGAGATTTGGGCTTGCTAAAAGCGTTCATAGACCTTAATCCAAAGTTTAAATGCATGTCATAGTTAAACACATTTGATTATTTTGTTACGAAACATGGCTCCATTATCCTCATTATGTTTACCAAGTACCAGAACGCAGCCAATGAATTGTTTGTTTGCTGCATAGAAAGTTTTTGTTTTCATAATTTTCCTATAAAGGACCACACACCACCAAACCCCCAGGATTACATAGATTGATGTTGTTTAATTTTTTTTTCAGGCGCTCCGACAGTTTCAACAACAACGACATCAGCGCCCGTTCTAAAATTACAACAGGTATAATGCTTATTTTTTTATACCCAAAGTATGTAAAGTCAATAATAAAATAGCATTTAAAACCGGAGAGCATTTTACGGCTTGGGCCCCGTTATCATAACTAATGTAGTAGTAATGTACTGCTTACTGCAACAGCGTGGTGGGCCTAAGCTCCTATTTACCTCAAAAAGAGAGGACAGGCCTTATACATTGGGTCATTAATGGGTGGAAACGATATCCCTATTCGAAATGAAAAAAAAATTTTTAGTGGAATATTAAAAAGAAAAATATTACTATAATGATATAAATTGCTTTATAGGTAAATCCCATACATCAAGTAAAACTAGCGCAGGGGATTAAAATACAACAGGTGATGATTTACTATCTGCATGACAAGTGTGAAGGATTTTTTATGCACTCATTTGCACTTAATATTAATACTGTGGGCTGCATGATTGACGTACTAACCTTCAATGGTTTTTACTGAGGTTTTCTTTTGATGGGCAAAAAAATACAGCATGATAATCGCACTGCAAAATTGTTAAAATGATGTCTATGATATAAAAGAATGTTCTGATATGAAAATAACTGCATTAATTATTATCTGTCTGGCCATACAACAGTTTTTTTTTATATATTTGAGTGCCATTGTTGTACCATATATCGCTTATAGAATATATATTTAGAGTTATTATATTTACACAAACTTTTTATATTCAGCTCGAATATATTTGGGGCAAAACTTTATTAAGTAACCATGTTCATTTCAAGTCAATAATTTGTTTTTAAAGGACCAATGAGGTAGAAGTTTTTAAATATATATTTTTTATTCAAAGGCTAGGCGGTTGTTAACGGCGAGAGGGTATATGAAGCTAAAAAAAGATACTCGCCTCTCACCTTTTTGTTCTATTATGATAATAATAATTTATGGATTTTAATTTTCACCGGTAACTCTGGTAAAAATTGGGACTAGTGTGAATATTATTTTTTAACAACCCTCATAACATTTCAGGGCGCGGTAACGAATACATCAGTGGCGACATCTAGCGGCGTTCGTAGTGTACTAATGGACGGCCAGCAGTTGAAGCTAGTGGGGGGGCGTCATGTTTTAGCAAGACTTTTAAGACCGACCAATCCACAACAGTGATAGTGATGAAGTAATTGTTAAATATAAATAAGAAAGTCGATAGAAAAGCACGAATTCTGGATAATTATTCAGATTCTGCAAAAAATTGCACGTCTACTCATTGTAATAAAATACAAATTTTACAACTGCGTTTGCGCACTTTTACATAATTTATTTATTAAGGAAGAAAATATATTTATGTTCAGACAAAGTATTCTTTACTTTAAACGTGTAAATAGTCCGGACTGTTTTTCAATGTGTGTAAATAACTTAATAAATTGATTTAAGAAGTTTTAATATGACATCACAAACATCTTGCGTAGTTATAATGTCTTCCTTGACACTCGAGTGTAAATAGTGTTTTAGAAAAATCAAACGTGTCATTCGTTTTAATATTTCATATCAAAACGGAAATCCTTGTTTTCATGGTTTGTAAATAGAAAATCAAATTTGACTAGCTTATATCTATTCTTTGTCTCGTATAGGACGATAAGTTGGAGGATATACAATAATGTGAATGTATTGGACCATTTATTAAGTAAATTGCCAGGCATTGATGATCAGCCGTTAGTTAGCAGAACTCATCAATGAAGTACAATATTGTTTGTATAGTCTATGATCGTGCACAGTCAAACTTATCACCCTATACTAGACAAAATGGACTTGTCAAATTCTGTAATTTTACGGTAGAAACAGTAGGTGCTTATTTATGGCCAAGCAATATTGTACCACATAATTTTTACACTTTGACTACAAAATCGAATGTTAGGTGGGTATATTTCAATGATCTGATGAGTTATAATGATAAATGATTTCTGTGATAAATCATTGATATTTGACACATTGGTAGTACGCTAAGGCTGAAATATTAGGTTAATAGATGTATAGTGTATTTTTTCTAACTTGGCATTTTGGTAAAGAAACACACAATTTACAAGAAATCGTGATTTTTTCACAAGGTTTACATTGATTTACATTTAAAACCCTTTGAGATATTGAATTATACCTATCTCAAATTAATAAAAAAACACTCACATGATAATATTAATAAACATCTTAAAAATTAATTAACATACATGGACAAAATTAAATTTCTTTAGTTTGACATTTACATAAGTCAATACGACAACAAACGACAATAGTAGGTAGCAGTCCCACTCGTGCGCATTGTGACTGATCATGACTGAGAAAAATTAAATAAAAAGGTCATAAAAGCGCTTTTAAATATTGAGGTGTTTGTCCATATATAATAGTAACTCTATTTAAGGTCATAACTAGTTCTCTATGGGTTTAAGTCTGCCATATTTATTGTGGTTTTTGCCAAGTTATAAAAAATACGTCATACTTATAAAAATGGAAGTATTTGTAAACATTCAATTTATTATAAACAATTACACAGAAAAGGCTATTGTTTGGATATCACAAGATAAATGAATTTTGTATGTCTGTCTATGGGACACTAGAGGGTAAGCATTTCTCTTTAACGACTAATTTATGGTTATTCTGTAACGAAGTAACGTTAATTTTTATTATGACCTTATTTTTAGGACCGGTCTTGCAACAAAAGGTTGTTTTAAGAGTATATTTATTTTAATCGGTTTCGCGTACGATAAGCCCTGTATTATAGTAATTTAAACTATATGTACATTATGTATTGTAATCCACTGGGATTTTCTGTAAAATACGTCAATTAAAAATATATTTCTGTTTTTATTTAACACCGTAAATATTTCTAATAACAGCTACCACTGGAAAATTCATTGTGCTTTAACTATTGTACATTAACACAATATTTAAAACTCAAACACGTCTTTAAGTCTCTTAATAATTTTTGCTGACTACTACTAGAAACCTTTATTTTAATTCACATTAAGTTACGATGTGTTAAATAATGTTTTAGCACTGGTGTATTATTTTCAGGTTTATCGGATTGCTTTAATGATCAAATGTAGTTCGAGAATGATAATTGATTTTTCCTCTTAGATTTGTATTTTTAAGGTTTAATATTATTTAAGGCACAAAAAAGAGACACAAACTCGGTGGGAAAACATATTTTATCTTATAATTTATGTACATAGTGTTTCAGCTCAAAATAAATATACCGCCTCTGACAAACTAATGGACACAAAAGCTGATTGAAAACTTAACATCTATCGATATATTTATGTGCGATATATTACTTAGTATATGATATAAAATCCCGCCAGCGCGATGCTTTTGAATAACAGCAATTATTGCCAGCATACAATTGGTTCATCACGTAAAACAGTGCCCAATTCCTTCCACCACCCTCCTCCGATTGTAAGTTCGTCCCTCTCGACGCATATTACTCTAACACTCCCTTATTTCTACCACAGAAGCACGAGTAATACAAAAAAATAGTGCCTTTACAAAAATAGGTTACTAATCGGACTATTTGCTATCGAACGTAACAAAATCCTACATCAGTCTTATATCTATTAAAACCATGACACAAAATCATATGGAATTCATGATTAACGCCAATTCTTATTCTAAATCCATTATAATTATATTAAAAGAAAAACATCAAGGATACCACATCAATTGATTAATACTGACGAGTCAAGCTTTGGTGGGATGAGAATTAGGTATATAAAAGCAGAAAAATGTTAAACGTCGAGGCCGAAGCACATGCTAGCTTAAAGTTATATGATTGGATGTGTGTTCTGAACAATGTAAGCACACCATTGAATAAATCAATAATTCAATTTGAAATTTCCAATAAAAAATCAATTTAGGTAATAAGATAGTTATTATGTGTAATCGGCCGCGATGTGTAATAATAAATTTGGCAAATTCAGTCTAAATTAATTTATGAGCAATTGTAATTCTTTGATTTTTTTGGGTTTCGTACACACAGTACGTGAGCTAAGATTAAATTGTCCGTCTGTGAACCCCGATAGTGAGACAGTTGAAATGTTTACATAAGTATTTCAGCCGCTATTACAACAAATACCGAAAAAACCGTACTAGAGCACGTTATGACGTATATTTTGTAGACGATACGGACCCCCTCGTGCGCGATTCCAACTCCCACTTAGCCGGTTGCTTTATAGTTTTGTATCTTCGGTGTACAGGCACTGGAAGTATGATTATGATCAGTTAGGTTCAACTCTCATAACTACTACGGCGTCTAAATTATTAGTTACAAGGTGCTTCGCGTCTTATGCACAATTGAGGAAAGGTCACACGTTCAAACAACAATCTTTTGTAATTACAACGATCGTATATTAATTACAATTAACGATATGAAGTAATGTGATAACTATTTTTAATAATATGGATGCATAAGTGATATTCTATATTCAATTTTTCCCTTATTGTGCATAGGACTCAATTACAACGCAATTCCTTCTGGTTCACTCGTCTGCTTCAGGATTTTCAGCTTCCAATAACACAGTGTTGTCGTCATTGTGCGATTCCACGGCGATCTCCTGAAAAGGTGCTAGATATAATTCGCAAGAAGGAACGTCCGTATATAACGTATTTTTGAGCTCATACATTTAAGAATAAAAATTTTAGAATTAGATTTGTTTAATAATTTAATTTGTCGAGTCCGTCCTATTTAATAAATTAAAAATAATTAATACCTCGCACGCAGACAGATTCGAAGAAGGTTCTTTTCTTGCTTTGACCGCCATCGATATCAACAGCGCCACAGTAATTACAGACATAGCGATCGTGAGGAACAAGAAAATGGTGTCGCTTGCACTGCCCTGTTAATAAATAAATATTATTTATTGTAAAAAAAATGATTGTTGATAACATTGCAATGATTTATCATCAAGTTACACAGTTGAGCAAGGGTTTCCTCTCTCATAGGAGACTAGAGTTAAGGTTCACACTCACGCGCTGCTTTGATGTAAGTTGGTGGAATTAAAGGACAAGAACTAAATAATGGATAGTAGGTAACCGGTAGTGTATGTATGAGGACTTTAATGACTGCCTCTAAATTATTAATGATAACGAAGACCGACGGGTTTGCGTGGTCTCTAAAGCACGTGAGTGACATTTCTGACTTTCAAACTTCTTGCTCCTCCTACACATTTTAATAAAAAAAACAGAATACCACACATTTACAAAAGAAGTAGAGGGAAGTGAATTAACATGGTATTAATTATTAAACTGACGAGGCAGTTATTGTACAGATAATGTTGAAAAAAATCTTCAGCGTGGTCCAAGCTCTCGAATTCAAATGTCAAGAAAAGATTAAATTTTGGAAGGGAGACGAAATCTAATAATTTAAATCCTAACGAAACACAAATAAATTTCATATTTTAAAGTTCTTTATATCTGCGCCTAGGACAAATAATAGCACATTTGGTCCAATTTATGTTTCCATTGTTGTTTATGAATACTTGGATAATGAAAGCTGTCTTGGTTTGATAACACTAATTACTTACATGAACAGGCCACTGGAAACCCGACGTGTCAATAAAAGAAAACTTCTTCCCGTACCAGCCGAAATTAGTCTTCGACACCGTAACTTCATCGGCATCAGAGCTCGGTACAACAGCATCTGGCTTCAACGGTGGCAGTGAAAATACTTCGTCAAACTCTAACGATTCTTTCGCTTCTTCATCGTTATCTGCGGATAGCAGAGCGTCTTTCAAGTTATTGAACTTCGTCATATCACTGGTGGTTACTTCTGTAGTGGTCGAAGTTATTGGCGTCGATTTTGTAGTGATCAATACGTCCTCAAACACTTTTGGGCTATCCGTTACTATCTTCTGCGTAGGGTCAAAGACACGCGAGTAATAGTTGAACACGTTTCGGATTGTTATAGGCTCTGGGGTAACTGTCGCTCTAATAATTATATCTTTATCCCAAGGTCTCATGGACATGTAGTGATCTAATAGGCGTACGCTGCCAGATGGTGTTCCGATAAGTGGAATCCGTTCAATATCCTCCGTTGGTAGTTGTGGTAGAACAGTTGATCCTGAATATTTCCACGACCTCAAAGCGGGCATCGTCCAGGGAGTTGTAATTCTTTCGCTGGTAGACGTTGGTGGTGTGGTACTGGTTGTGGACATGGTTGTAGATGTAGTAACTTCTTCCTTGGGCTTTACAGTGATAATTTCGGATATTTTCATTTCCTTTTTACGTGATCGCAGTATTTCTCTTCCTCCAGGTGTTAGGGCCGGTGTAGTTGTGTCGTGGTGTTCGAACTGCAGTCTCCGAGCGAATATAGCACCGTTCATGACGTATAGTGGGACCGACGCCAGTGCTAAAGCCACGACTGTGCCGAAAATCACCATCAGCACATATTTAAGGGTCGATCTCCTTCTTCGTCGGACGTGAATCGACGGACTGTAGTCGCGTCCCTTGCCCTTTAGTCCACTGTTGCTCAGAACTTCTTCAGTTTGCGGAAGTATGGTATACTGAAGACTGTTTTCACCGTGGCGCACCGTTTTGTACATGATGAACAATTTAAATTCACTATTTCACACTCAAAATTATACTAAAAAAAATCACATGCTTTGCCCCTGAGTTTGGTTATGTCCGTAAAAAAAGAAACCACATAAGAATCGGATGGTTTAGTGCTAGCGGTCGTAGATAATCGTGCTTTGTGCAGCGTTGAAAGTTTATGGTGTATCTGATCTGGAAAAAAAGCTATGCGCATGCGCGACAACATTGAGCGGCTGCGCGTTCCCCTCTTGTCTTCTCGTTTCCTAGGTTTGAGGTTATGACTAAGATGCCGGCTGCCATAAAACTATTTAAAAGTCCCTTGACCTTGTCCTTGATGATTTATCTTATTTGTAGGCTATCATAGATCTAATGTGTCCTGCTCGACTAAAAAAATAATTACTTGATTCGAACCCACGATCGGCGACCATTAAACTAAATAAAGCACGTTTCAAAAGGATGTTTTAATGCACGTGGCAATTATTACAAACACACAGTACATACAGTTATACGAGATGATCATATTCGTTAATACACAAGAAACTCTAACTATAATATTTTGTTCTGTAATGCATATCTGTGCTATTAGAGTTTTAGCTAAATGTATGATAAGGAGCATAGACAGATACGGTCCACTTAATGGTGATATACCCCAGCTAAAACACAATTTTTGAGTTTACACAATTCTTGATTAAAATAAGTGAATAGTAATCGAATAATTGTGAATCACTTGGAAGGCTTTGTCGAGTTGACTCACATTTCTCGCAACTTTGCCCGGTGTTTTTGTGACGTGATTAATTTGAGAACCCACCCTTCAACTTCATCTTCCTCGGGGCGACGAATACCCGTAGAGTAAATTTTAGACTTGAATGACGGGTTTTGTATGACCTTTACTACATATTAAGCGCTGTCTGTGTTTATATTTTAACAGAGGCGTGTCTGTTAGTTATCCAGACAAATTTATCGATATAAAACTATATGAAGTGATCTAAGTTTATGCGAGCGGTACAGATAAATATAACACGTTAACGGTTTGAAGAGCAACATCCTTTAGTTAAGTTTTAACCACGCCAAAAGGTTTTTTATGATCGATAAATAACAGATACGAAAGTTTAGGACGAGTTTAATTTAATGCGCAAACCTTTAAGTTCCTTTATTATGTACTTTTAAAAAGACAATTTAATTGTTTTAAACGTGAACTTTATTAGCGATCGTCTAACTTTGACCTGATACTATAGTCACAGCTGTTGAAAAAGATCTTAAACGTCGAGTTTGTTTATTTCCTATAAGAATTAATATTGATTATATTTATCGTATTGTAGTTATTGTAAATAAAATTATTTTTTGGTATTAGTCTGAGTACACTATATACACCCTTCATTCTATAGATTGACATACCCCACTATAAAAAACACGTTTTTGTTTTGAAATTACAATAAATAAAGGAAAGAATGACATTGTATTGTTCACTTTAGTTATATTGAAACTGCCATAGCTCTTTAAAACTGTCGCCATTTTGCTTTATTACAGTTAAAAATTTAATAACGATAGTGGAGCTATTAATCTTGTAAACTTTGTTGTCTTTACAAGAATTTTGGACAAAGAATGGCTTTAGAAGTTAAGCAAATTCGTAAAGTTATGAGAGTTAAATCTACTTTGTTTCTGTCTGCATTATAACGCTTATATTAAATAAATTAAAATATAGTCGTGTACTTTTGTTGCTTATGTATTAGTAAAATGTTTTGACACTATAATGTTGGACAAACAATTTTTACAATACAAAATAGTTTAACCGTTTAAATCATGAAATATATTAGTTTACTCATTTTTAATTTATTTTAACTGACCACTGCTGCTGAAAAGCGACCGAAACGTCAGACTGTGGATAAAATTAAAACAAATAATATATTTCGCGTTCTAAACCGTTAAAAGTGTTTTATTCAATTGTATACTCGCGTAAACTACAAGCAATATTTAATGGAGACTTAAGTAGAATAGAGAATTGTGTTTTCACACGAACAGCGAAACGACTAATTGCAAATACTGAGATTGCCTCTCGACTCATTAAATTACATAAGCCGCCGAACATGAAAGACTTCGCCGTAGGCGATTCTAGTCATTGTTAGAAAAAATTGGACAAGGCGCATATTAACGAGTTTTTGCGTCCGGTCTAACGAAAACACCATACGAATACTAATTCGGTTGACCTTGGGCAGAATCACGTTTCCTTTCGAAATTGTTTCGTGAATGTGATATTTTTAGTATAAAATTAAAAAGAGTTGAAACAAAATAAAAGGGTTGCCAGAACGAGTCGTCCCACTTTTAGGGTTCCGTGCTCGGATGTCCAAATGGGACTCCGGGCTGTACCTGAAGAAGATTCTTTATGATAGAGGATGACAGACAAGCATGGTCTTCGCTTGATAGAAGGTAAAATAACCCAGACAACCTGTATTGCTTTAGATATTTGGAGATCCACAGATTGAAACAGAAGAGCGCTGTGGTTCCTGATCCTGATGAAATTTTTATATTACTATCAATAATGTAGTATCCAGATTTGCAGACGAAGACCCGTTTATTATTAGCTATACTCTGCTACCATTAGCCCAACAAACCCGTGGGAACCCGAATGAAGCAACTAGCAAATTTTATGAATATATTTTCCGATACAATTAAACTATATCAAACCGAAACAATACAAACAAAGTTATGCGGCTTATTTAACAACGCTGCTGTCTATTGTTTTGTTAGATAGTGGAATAGAACTAATGCGAGAAATTCGGCTCGCACTTGACCGGTTTTTTACGTATCACGTCTGTGTTTTGGGTTTGATTAGGGTTCCGCTAGATTCATAACAGTGGATATATATCTAGTTCCTTATACCAACTTTTGCTTGAGCAGATTTACCCACAAAAAAAAGTAAAATTCCGATAAAAATAGTGTTTCATTTAAATAGTAGAAATAAATTAGGCTTCAATGATGTTCGTTATCTTGACGTTCGCATGCGCTCTGTAAAAGAAAATTATAATCTGTGCAATTGAAATGTCTGTTGAATATAATGTATAGTTTACGCGAGTAGTACACATTTAAAAAACACTTTAACGGTTTAAAACGCGATATATTAGTTAAATTTATTTTAATTTTTTTAACTTCGGGCCGACTTTTGGATGCTTTGCAGCTGCCGTGGTCACGAGGAGACTGTCAGGTCAGTCTCCTCGTGACCATGGCATGGCAATCGCGTTTTAAACCGTTAGTGTTTTATTTGAATATAATCTGTTTTCTTCTCTGTATTGTACATGGCTGTGGCATCAAAACAAAGAAATTCCCAGTTAATCATCCTAATTGATATACGCCAAAGTTTCCGCAAATGATTAAAGTGATACAAAGGGAAGAGATACGCGCAGTAGGGCTTCCTCTTAGTACAATGACATCGCCAGGGAAGCTATTTTAGTTGCCTGGAACTCCGCCAGGCCAACTACCATCGACTAAATAAACGCATATGACAGAAAACTGCAACCCGGTGTTTTGAGATATCATAAAAAATAAATAACAATAAACATAAGTACTTTATTGATTTCCTTAAAACATTTACTACCTTTGCAAACAGTCGTTCATTTTTAATATCTCAGTATAAATTTGACGCATTATGTAATGAATGAAGTTTTCTTGTGATAACAGTCATATTAAAATTATTTATTACAAACAGTATTATATCACTAAAGGTTAGGAACTTACATCGATTATATAATTAGACGTCACTGGTTTTTTATTTACGCTTCTATACAATACACCATAAGCGCGTTTTTAACATTTAACGATTCAAATATTTTACGTAACAATGTTTGAATTGATTGATAATTTATATAAACGAAGTAAAGTGTAAAGTACTTCCTTAATATTAAATTTCGACAACACATTATGTACTGTATATATGGTTATCTTTAGATATAACAAAGTCTTAAAATAGTCCGTAACAAGTTCGTAATTACTTGTTTGGGGGTCAATTCTAAAAAAGTGTATATTGGACTTGTGTCATAATTGTTTGTTATATTTACATGTGTCGACGACTAGACTAGTTATAATCATCACGGGATGATCTCATCATCATCATCAATGGCTGTAAAGCCCCTTGTGGGGCCTAGCGTCCTCAAGTCACTTCGGCCATCGTGATCTATTCTACGCTTCCTGTATTTTGCGACTTATGACGTCACAAATCTCTGACAATCGACTCCTTGGTGTCAAACATCATATTTGTCTGATAAAACATTTCTTTTCCTACAATTTACCAATGGCAAATAACCTCAGTCACCTTGAGGATTCAAAGCATACCCTGAGATCGTTTAACGAGTTTGCCTAAACAAACATCTCGCACATCTGTTTGGCCGAATGTTAGCGAACCATTGCCCCCAAAGGTTACTCCGGCAACTCTTGTTTATGTTAAAAACGCGTGCAAGTGGTAATGAACTAAACGTGAACCTTCAGTTACTGGCTTCACTCGTGGCTAGGGCCATTTCTTAAGATACATAAAACTTTTTGTATTCTCACTAACTGTTACACTTTTGTAACAGAAAAACTCTACGTTAGTTCGTTATATTTATTCTTATGAAATTAAAAAAAAATACAACTGTGAACAATTTCCCCAGTGGAGCATAGATCGAAAACGAAGTAGTCGGTGACACTTTGGGGACTAGCTAATAATTTAGTATAACAACGGGCTTCGAAACCAGAACTCTTTGTGCTTAATGCAAAACGTTTAACCATTTAGCCACAGAAGCAAGAAATATTTCTGTACAGCATCCGAAGTTTAAAATATAATAGTTTCGTCTTGTATTTGTAGTAAAAAAAAGAAGTTAATGTTTGCGAGGTTAAATTATTATTTGGTAACATTTGTGTTAGCACCACTTTTGTGGTATATTAATAATATTGTACCAATAATTTAAATTTTATGGACATCGAAAGACGCTACCATACCGAAACATTAGGCCACTATGAAGATACGGATTTTCCTATACATATT